AATTATGCAAGTATATGATCTAAAAATGATATTGCATAATCATCAAGAGACAAGGATTCATATAGACAAATCAAGGACATAAATTAATTAGTAAGTTTTTGAGTTATAAGCCAAGTCCTTAGGTGTGTAAATATTTTTGTCACCCCCCTGTAATTCTGCTGATCTTATCCAGATCATCAATTAATAAAATTTTATTAAGTATATGTAGTTGACCAATAAAACTTGATCACATATACCACTTGTCCAATTAGACTCTAATCAGACATGTGGTACATGTGATCAATTTTTATTGGTCAATCGTAAAGTTGCCATGGAAATAAGTTACCATAAAATAATGCCTATATTTTTATATAAAAAGTAAACAAATAAAAATACTTAGAAACTAGGTTTAATACTAAGTAAATCTAATTTTAGGCTTTAATTAAAGTAGTTATTTAGGTCAAACAGTTTTAATAGTAGTAAATTTATTAAAAATAGCCTAGTATATCATCTGCAATAGCTCTTTAAAATTTTGTAATATTTGTTTATCTTTGTTTACATAAGTTATAGCTTATATAAATGAAGATAAATAAATATTACAGAACTTTAAAGAGCTATTGTGAGTAATATACTGAGTTGTTTTTGATAAACTTACCACTTTAGAACTATCTCAATCTGAAAAACAACTTTTGTTAAAGCTCAAAAGTAGAGTTCCAAACCTAGTTCGCTGTACTCGGGAAATAATTAAGCGTAGATTTACACTATTCCTTTTTTGGCCTATAATAGATTAAATTAATATGACTATCGATTTACATAATAATTAGTCAACACATTGAACGTATCGCAGGATGTAGTGATGAAATAATCTTTTGACTTAAACATGATGCGTGTTTGTTGTAGGCGTCAGGAAGGCAAGTCTCGTTATAGGAAAGGTTTCGATGAAATCATTGAAGCAAGGCGTAGTTGTTATTGAAATAGGACGTTTGGCATCAATGAAGGGTTAATGAGTTGGCGTTGAAAAGGATAAATCCACGGAGGAGGGAATCTCGATGGCAGTATAGAATAAATATTTGGTGCAATAACAGAATGTATTTAAAGACCCGCTAGCTGCTTTAATAAAGTTTCCCCCAGGCTTGATCTCCCTGATATTTGAATAAACTGTTTTATATTGAATTCTCCCTTGTATTATTGTATTATCGTGAATACATCTTCACGGTATTGTTAGTATAATGCATCTTGGTATCCCTATCGTGAAGACACCTTCACGATCCTATGTATTTATTATTTCTTATAATTATTACAACTACAATTACGTCACAGACTTTCGCAGACATTGATGTCCGTGAGCTTACATAAACACTTTTAAACATTCACCTATTGTTGTCCCTATCTTATATTATTTTATCTTTCGTTCACTATCGCTGATCTAAACTCGGCCATTTACTACGCTCTCCCGAAATCCGATAGTAACAACTGGATAACTATAGTTATTAAAAAGGTTAACTACTGTTGTTGAATCTATGAATATCGAGACTGAGCTGTTTAGTGGTGCTACGAATACGATGGTAACAATTGCAGTAAGTAATGCTAGAGTTTTGCTAGACCATTTTAGGGGTTTCCCGACCAGAGTGTTACTGTATACATGACCTACCCAGGCGTATTGATACTGAGTTGTATTTAGATTTTGTTTGAACGTTGTAATTGTGAATTGTAGGATTTTGGCTTATTGGCGATGCTAAGTAACATGCTGGTTGATATTGGACTAGGAAAAGTTTTCGTACATGTTTGGGTTATGATCTGTAGATTTTTGGAGATATACCTCGCATTATAATGCGTTGTGACTTGTGGTTAGTGCTTGTTAATTCTTGTATGACTGAGTCAATATCACCATATAGCCATTTTGCTTGACTGACTTAGACTGTGTTATAGTAACCTCATGGGTAATTGCACATTTATTATGATAACTGTCGTTTGTCCTGTGCATTGTACCAACTGTATAGTGGTTGCTGTATTTTCTTGTCGTATTGGTAGCCAGTGCGTTGTTTTAATTATGTGATCAGGGTTGATTAGGATAATTTTACCAATAATTGTTTCATTTTTGTAATTGTATATTATCCATTGATTTTTCTTTAGCGTGTTCTGTTGCTTTATAAATGGATTAGGTTTTGCTAGTTGCACTTGGCTGTTATGGAGTGTTATTGCATTGTTGATTTCTTTTTGGATGTCCTTGTATCATTTTGGTTCATGCCTTTAGGTATTTTTCTTGTAGTGTCTGTAAAAAAATTTTTCCAAATAATTCCGTTATTTCTCCAGATTTTTTGTGAAAACTCCGTGAATTTGCAACATAAATTCCGTGAACATGCAACATTATGGACAAAACACGGAATATAAAACACGGATCGACTTTTTTTATAGGGTGTGTGCTGTCTCTTGCCAAGTTAGTGGTCTAGTGTTGTGGTAATTAGTTAACTGGTCAACGAAGTGTATTTTGGATGTATTTAGTTTCATTTTAATTTTATATTTATGTCGTTTGATGTTAGGTTAATAAGGATTAAGTCAATGCTTGTTCCAGGTTGTTGGAAAGGGATTGGTGAACTTGTGTTCTTTGTTGTATTAGTTGCATTTTCTGGATATGGCATGATGAAGTTGGAGTTGCTAGTGTTGGTACTGGCTGCGTTTTGGATTTGTTGGAGTCTGATATAAAGTGCTGTGTTTGGAAAATTTGGGGTGTTTATCTAGCAGTTAAGTCTCGCAATGTGATGTTGAGTTTGTATATTCCATTTAGTTTGGAGTGCATAAATTTTGTGTTATAAAAGATTGAGTTTGGTACAGACTTTGCCATTCCAGCTTTATGATTTACTACACTAGTGTATCTATTAGTAATGTGATTACATTTACTTTGAGCTGATTCTGTATTCGAAACGCGTTAGTATTATTGTATTGATAATATAAATTGCCTGCTTTTCAGGATGATTGTTTTTTAAGAATTGTAATC